CAATTTTTTTGAAATAGGGTAGGTTAGGTTAGGTTAGGTTAGGTTATCGGGTTTTGTTCAAGTGACCACCCTCTTTCGATCCCCCACCTCCACCTGCTTGAAAATAATTTTTTTATTGAATTTTATTTGAATTATAGTGTACGAAAATTGTCAAAATAATCAACTTTCAACCCCCATAACTTTTTATGGGGATGAGACCGCCGCAAATTTTTATGGTGTTTTACTCAGGTGACCACCCTCTTTCGATCCCCCCAAACCCCACACCCGAAGGGGGGAAGGGGCCATCACCTAACACCCACAACTTTTTATGGGGGTGAGACCGCCACGAACTTTTTATGGTACAGTGGTGGGGGAGACCTCCTCTTTCGATCCATCATCTAGACATTTACCATGTCGTATTATTAGACGAAGTAGCTGCACCGACTTTCATTACATACATATCTCCGCCATAACTTTAGCCAATTTGCATACTAGCACGTTAACTGATTTATGTTATTTGTATTTGTTTGGCAAACCCAAAAAGTTCCACGAGCAACAAATTGATCTTTCTTTTTAATATTCTTCATGTACAGAGCAAAACCTAACGTTTCCACTAAGATTAATGGCGTCGTATAGTCGTCTTATGGAGGTATTTTAATAAATTCGGAACCAACTTTTTAAATTCTTTCCGGCACATCCGTTCGTCATCTCCACTAAATGGATTTTAATCTTCCGTTTGCTGAGAAGTTTTTAATTGAGAGAAAGAAAGCAAAACGGATAGATGGCTGGTCATCATCGTGAACAGTAGGTAGTAAGGCAAAATTCAGCTTCACCAAGTTTGTCACGAAGTGTGCAGATGTTACCACTTTTCGGTCGCTATATATACGACTCTTGCATGACGCCACGTAATCCAGGCACGATTCCTGCAGGATATATTCTGAGTTCGACGGTTTTATCATGCTGTCAAATAAGATCATTTCTCTATTGTTTATAACGTGGTCGCACGGAATTTAAAAAACCTTATCTGATGCTTACCAATAAATGGGTCGATTTTAGCCACAACGTTTCCAATATTCACCCAGTGAAGCCAAAGCCATTGAGAAAACTAATAGTCTAAGTATTTACGTACGTGCTCTTTTAGTCGAAGCGCTGAACTTTGTCTTGCTTATACGATCGCCACCGCTTTAAAAGTTGAATTTCGATTCTAAACTGTACTTAAGAATTCCTCAACGAGATCAACTATGAATGCTCTATACGTACTTTCTTAGTGAGATGTACTAAACTGACATGAAACTTTTGGCATTATTGTGAGCTTCCTTGTTATTACGTATTATAATATTTTTCGATTGAACAATAATAGGTATAACTAATATACGTGAAAGGCAAATTAATAATAAGTATTTCGTTATTATAAAGAGCGAATGTAAATATAGGAGACGAAATATTAAAAGAAGTGGCTGATTTTAAGTACCTAGGTAGACAGATAAGTCAGGACGGAACAAGCAGTAGGGATATAAAACAGAAGATAGTGCAAGGTTGAGTCGCCTTCAATAAAAAGAAGCCAATTCTTTGCTCGCGAACGATTAATTAAGAAATTAAAAAAAGATTGTTGAAGGTGTATGCTTGGAGAGCGGCGCTGTACGGGTGCGAAACATGGACGGTGGAAAAGGAAAGGTTAAGAGATACCGCGGATAGAGGAGGTTAGAAATGAAGAGGTATTAGAAAGAATAGGAGAACTTCTATGGAAGTCAATATGAAATAGGCAAAATAGGTTGGTAGGAAACCTTGTTAGGCATGAAGGTCTAATCAGAAACATATTAGAGGCAAAAACAGGAGTTAAGAGGAGTGGAGATAGACCTAGATTAGATTACATATTACTGTTCACAAGTAGTTAAGGATGTGGGATGTTTTAGTTTTAGGAAAATGCGAAGATTAGCTCAGGATAAGAAGGAGCGGAGGTGCGTGTCCAACCAGTCTTAGGACTGACGACCTTATGATGATGAGACTTTTTTGTTTTGATGGTCAGGACTGTCCTAATAATGAGTATTGTTGAATTGCTCACTTAAGTACACCTACTTTAATATCCTTTGGGAATATAACTTTCTTCACAATTCTATGTCAGTTTTGATACCGAAATTCATCCAGAATTTATTATAATTCGCGTATATATACCTATAGAGTAGGCTGTATTTTCGAAAATCGCGAAAGGAAAACATTAATCTTTCGTTCGTGCTGTAATTAGGGGAGCGAATCCAAGTAGATAATTTTAAAATCAAGTTAATGTAATTAGTGTCCTGTAATATGAGTTTCCAAGTTTTGTTTACAAACAATCCCTGTCAGAAAGCGAACAGCTTGTTGCTTCTCTATTCGCAAAACTTTGGTGAAGTAATTAGAAGACAGGAAATTGGTATACAGATCACCTAACTGCTTTTCCCAACTTTATCATGAACTGAATAAAATGAGAGCCTTTTGCCCGAACTTTATATGTTACTTTTCGCTTGAAATGAATTATAATTCGGCCAGATAACTTCAAAGCAAAATTTTACGTACTACTCATGCCACAGTTCTGGTACTGACACAGTTCTTTATTTATATTATTTAGAAAGTCGGTAAACAGAGTGGCTCACTGTTTCTAATTAAAGGCGTTGCAAGTTAATTTCTTAAGCAATTAGGCGTAATGATTTTATTAAGTAATCGTTACGTACTTGAGGATAATCTCCATCTTTCGTTTGGTAATCAAACACATAGAAAAACGTTTTGGGACCTTCTTGTTCTTGTCCTGGTTGTGGTGGTTTGGCACTCAGGAGATCCCCCGTCTGCACCAAGGGAGCAACGAATTGTGCATCGCTTAGAGCAGCAACCGCAGCATCTCTTGTGTTTATAGGATGCTGAACCGTCCTTTCCCAGTCCGTATACTCATTTACCACAGTAAAAAATATTTCACTAAGATGGTATGTGTACGCGTTTCTTATATAAGTCCTTATGATCCTGTCCCGTCTTTCGCCCTCGAAGCCCGCTTGGATATCGGACGAGGAAAAGCGCCAGAGGGCTTCACTTGTCACCACACCGAAAAGAAGATCATAAGGATTATTACCCTTTGGTGTAAATGAAGTGTCACTTCGTTTCATGTTCAAATTAACTGCGCCACTCGTGTAACTACTTTGAACGTCACTTGATCGAAAGAATGTGAGCAGCTCTTTGGAGAAATCGTGCTTAATTACTACACCGTCCACACTTGGTCCGAAAGCACTTAAATATGCTGGCGGCTGGATATCGGCACTTAGAAGACGTTCCAAAGAAACTTCTCTCAGGCAGTCTACAATTATCTCGTGATCCACGTCGATCTTTTCGGGAATTGTACAGTTGACTTCTTTAGCGAGTTTCACTGCAAACATCACCGGATTTTCTACGATTGCCCATGAGGACAAAGCCGAGCCTGAGAGGAGAATAGATCTGTGGAAAAGACCTGGCATCACGGTGGGTGATATCATGAGGAAGTTGATGCAGGCAGCACCCGAACCATGTCCTGCTAGGGTTACGTTTTTGGGATCTCCTCCAAAAAGCGCGATATTTTGTTGGATCCAGTGAAGAGCAGCAATTTGATCCATTAGTCCGTAATTGGCTACTCGCGCTTTTGTGTTCGGAACAGGGTTTGCATTAAGGAATCCTGAAAGAAACAATGTAACTGATAATTGACTACCTTCAAGTATGCTCATTATAAAATGAATCAAGGTGTTTCTGATTTAATCATGAAAATGATGTTCATAACCTGTCACTTTATATATTCCACTGAATGTCAAAATTGTAAGTAGGTAAAACAAAAAAAAATACACAGCTGTTGACTACAATTTCGAAGAAGGTGNAATCTTTTGCCCTTGCACATCTATCCCTACAGTTGTACTGTCTTTAATGATGTTGATGGCGTTTTCGATGTTTAGATTAAAAAGTAGCGGTGACAGTGTGCATCCCTGTCTGACTCCCTTCCTAATATTTACTTCTCTACGTTGCGTCCCTAGCTCTATAACTGCCTGTTGGTCTTTATACAAACTAAGGATCACTCTTCTATCTTTGTAACTTAACCCTACATTTTTACTAAATATTACCATGAATGTTTACCTGTCAGTGGTGTTCATGGTGAAAGGTGGATAAACACGTTAGAGCCTTTGAAAATTCTATAAGTACAACGTTTTGTTGCCTTTATTTCAATTTTTTCAAGTTTGGATGTTTCCACCCTATAGTAATGCTGGTGGGCGGGCAATCCTTCTGAGTCACATTTTCGTGCAAAGCCGGAGGATAAGGCGGAAGACTTTTTGCAGTCACCTTTTAGAAATCGTTGGAATGGATAAGAGGTGATTGAAAAGCGAAAGATACGAGACAGGCGAAACGGAGGCGGAAGAGAATTTAAAGATTATAAGTGGAATGCCCTATACGTAGAAATGTAAAATAAAATGGGTCACATGCGTTTCACGTAAAATTCCCTAACTTTTCTTTTGTGGAAATTTAGAAAAATGAATGAGCGTCAAGACTTTAAAGTGATGTTGAACGGACGAACGTGACCATATTATAAGGGTTCCTAATGGATATGTTCAAAGCACTAATAAAAAGAGGAAATCTGGAGAGTGTGCTCTTTCACCATTTCCTATTGTATTTATTATATTTTATCAGGTTTTTCCGGTTGATTTAAGAGTTTAGTTCTTTAGATAAAGAAGTCATAAGGAACTAATTGGAACCACTTTTCGTTAAGGTCGTGAGGAATCGTCCACTGTCTTTATTTTTTTATGAACGTCCTTCAATCGCTTCAACTGACGAGAGGATATTTTTAGACTGCTAAATGTCGACAAGAAGTGGGCTTAATTCTAACTTCCAGAGGCAACGTTAATTAAAAAGTTTCCTCGAAAATCTTCGTGATGCCGCTGACTGTGACCCGCAGTGAGATTTTAATTGTCTGAGAGTGAAGTTTGCGAGTTGAAATAAATGCAATTATATGGAACGAATAAGTAAAAATAGACTTCTTTTTTTTATTAATTTCTCCGCTGTGAGCACTGTTTGTCAAACAAAAAGGATCTTCTATTTAGGATGTGCCAAGTTTTTAATCGGACTAGGATCCTTCACTCAATTAACCAGACAACTCATCTCAAGCCACGAACAAAATTTTAGATTTTGTCTTTGTGGAAATACAAACTACAAATATATTTTATATAACTTCCTGTATCATCATCATAATAAGTTCGTCAGTCCTAAGACTGGTTGGACATGCACCTTCAGGTTTTCCTAGCCTGAGCTAATCTTCGCATTTCCCTAAAACTAGAACATCCCACATCCTTAACTATTTGTGAACAGTAATCTAATCTATGTCTATCTCTACTCTTCCTAACTCCTGTTTCTGCCTCTAATATATGTTTCTGACTAGATCTTCATGCCCGAGAAGATGTCCTACTAACCTATCTGGCCTATTTCTTATTGACTTCCATAGAGTCTTCTGTTCTCTTATTCTTTATAATATCAGTTCATTTCTAACCTTCTCTAACCACGGTATCCTCAACATTCGCTTGTAACACTACATTTCGAACGCTTCTAGCCTTTTTTCTTTTCTGCAGCGCCCACCGTCCATGTTTCGCACCCGTACAGCGCCGCGCTCTAAACATACACTTTTAATTTTTTTTTTTCGAATTTTTAAATTAATCATTCACGAGCATAGAAGTGACTTCTTTTTATTGAAGGCGACTCGACCCTGCGCTATCCTTTGCTTTACATGCAGCAAATTTTGAATGGATTCTACATTTTTTTTAAATTTATGGGATAATTGTGTAATCGTTAAAGTAAAGAATATTGCCCATTATCCGACTACGGATGACGTGTAAGTACAAAATCATATTATCCATAAATTTACCAAGAAATCGTTCCATTTAGTGGCGAGTAACTCGAACAAGCATTATCCGCATATGTTACGCGATACGGCGCCACGTCGTTCCAAGAGTCAGCGCTGCACGTTTGCAAATAATGTAAAGGGAATTTGCGGACGGCCCTCTAGATTTGCATCAGCTGCAAATTAAGCCCCGACTAACTTTTGGAAGCGGCCGGCAAATTTAAAAAAGTTGAACAAAAAAAAAAAAAAAGGAAGAAAAGTGCAATACCAATTGTTTCGACCGTTGTTCAGAACAATAAACGAGCAAAAAGAGAAAGAGTTGGTACGCGACCGGGCTGCATACTAATTGGACGCTCATTTGTGTTCATACATTACCTACGTGTTATGTAGCAAGGGGCTGCCGTAATTTTTTGGGCCAATGAGCATCCATCTTTGTATAGGCACGGCCACGTACGTGTGTGCCGGCTTTCACGATTATTAAAAACTTTTCTGATAGAAGAACCATTACTCATAATGATTAAATAGCCGATACACGTAGGCTAGCCGACGCCGGCGCCGGAGCCACATTCAATTTCGCTTATCGCGGAGAATTTCAAATTCAACTGATCATTTCAAACAAAAATGCATCGCTCGATGCTCTTTGTCCAAATGAATAGCGAATTAACGAAATTGCCAAAAATTATGGATCAACAATGAACTTTATGTAATTCTACGAGGTCGTTGGCGCTCGTTATTGCATTGTTTCCATCAGCGAGACTGTTATTACACACGCAAAAGTACGAATGTATTTGTATCATTGTTGTATATCTTTATATATCCATTCTTGATGATGGTCGCACTTTTTCATGACTTTGATTTGTGAAAAAATATGCACGAAATAAACAATGTGCACTACTCAAAGCTGATGGCAATGCTCCATAATCTAACAAAGTGTAAATCACTTATCTAAGAAAGAAAGAAACATACAAATCAGCCAAAATTTTCTATTTGAAATCATTATGCCACAATGATGCCATATGACTGACATCAGACAACCTGGCAATCATGCCGGTGATAGCGAATACCAAATACACTTATTANAGGGTAGGTTAGGTTAGGTTATCGGGTTTTGTTCAAGTGATCACCCTCTTTCGATCCCCCACCTCCACCCGCTTGAAAATATTTTTTTTATTGAATTTTATTTGAATTATAGTGTACGAAAATTGTCAAAATAATCAACTTTCAACCCCCATAACTTTTTATGGGGATGAGACCGCCGCAAATTTTTATGGTGTTTTACTCAGGTGACCACCCTCTTTCGATCCCCCCAAACCCCACACCCGAAGGGGGGAAGGGGCCATCACCTAACACCCACAACTTTTTATGGGGGTGAGACCGCCACGAACTTTTTATGGTACAGTGGTGGGGGAGACCTCCTCTTTCGATCCATCATCTAGACATTTACCATGTCGTATTATTAGACGAAGTAGCTGCACCGACTTTCATTACATACATATCTCCGCCATAACTTTAGCCAATTTGCATACTAGCACGTTAACTGATTTATGTTATTTGTATTTGTTTGGCAAACCCAAAAAGTTCCACGAGCAACAAATTGATCTTTCTTTTTAATATTCTTCATGTACAGAGCAAAACCTAACGTTTCCACTAAGATTAATGGCGTCGTATAGTCGTCTTATGGAGGTATTTTAATAAATTCGGAACCAACTTTTTAAATTCTTTCCGGCACATCCGTTCGTCATCTCCACTAAATGGATTTTAATCTTCCGTTTGCTGAGAAGTTTTTAATTGAGAGAAAGAAAGCAAAACGGATAGATGGCTGGTCATCATCGTGAACAGTAGGTAGTAAGGCAAAATTCAGCTTCACCAAGTTTGTCACGAAGTGTGCAGATGTTACCACTTTTCGGTCGCTATATATACGACTCTTGCATGACGCCACGTAATCCAGGCACGATTCCTGCAGGATATATTCTGAGTTCGACGGTTTTATCATGCTGTCAAATAAGATCATTTCTCTATTGTTTATAACGTGGTCGCACGGAATTTAAAAAACCTTATCTGATGCTTACCAATAAATGGGTCGATTTTAGCCACAACGTTTCCAATATTCACCCAGTGAAGCCAAAGCCATTGAGAAAACTAATAGTCTAAGTATTTACGTACGTGCTCTTTTAGTCGAAGCGCTGAACTTTGTCTTGCTTATACGATCGCCACCGCTTTAAAAGTTGAATTTCGATTCTAAACTGTACTTAAGAATTCCTCAACGAGATCAACTATGAATGCTCTATACGTACTTTCTTAGTGAGATGTACTAAACTGACATGAAACTTTTGGCATTATTGTGAGCTTCCTTGTTATTACGTATTATAATATTTTTCGATTGAACAATAATAGGTATAACTAATATACGTGAAAGGCAAATTAATAATAAGTATTTCGTTATTATAAAGAGCGAATGTAAATATAGGAGACGAAATATTAAAAGAAGTGGCTGATTTTAAGTACCTAGGTAGACAGATAAGTCAGGACGGAACAAGCAGTAGGGATATAAAACAGAAGATAGTGCAAGGTTGAGTCGCCTTCAATAAAAAGAAGCCAATTCTTTGCTCGCGAACGATTAATTAAGAAATTAAAAAAAGATTGTTGAAGGTGTATGCTTGGAGAGCGGCGCTGTACGGGTGCGAAACATGGACGGTGGAAAAGGAAAGGTTAAGAGATACCGCGGATAGAGGAGGTTAGAAATGAAGAGGTATTAGAAAGAATAGGAGAACTTCTATGGAAGTCAATATGAAATAGGCAAAATAGGTTGGTAGGAAACCTTGTTAGGCATGAAGGTCTAATCAGAAACATATTAGAGGCAAAAACAGGAGTTAAGAGGAGTGGAGATAGACCTAGATTAGATTACATATTACTGTTCACAAGTAGTTAAGGATGTGGGATGTTTTAGTTTTAGGAAAATGCGAAGATTAGCTCAGGATAAGAAGGAGCGGAGGTGCGTGTCCAACCAGTCTTAGGACTGACGACCTTATGATGATGAGACTTTTTTGTTTTGATGGTCAGGACTGTCCTAATAATGAGTATTGTTGAATTGCTCACTTAAGTACACCTACTTTAATATCCTTTGGGAATATAACTTTCTTCACAATTCTATGTCAGTTTTGATACCGAAATTCATCCAGAATTTATTATAATTCGCGTATATATACCTATAGAGTAGGCTGTATTTTCGAAAATCGCGAAAGGAAAACATTAATCTTTCGTTCGTGCTGTAATTAGGGGAGCGAATCCAAGTAGATAATTTTAAAATCAAGTTAATGTAATTAGTGTCCTGTAATATGAGTTTCCAAGTTTTGTTTACAAACAATCCCTGTCAGAAAGCGAACAGCTTGTTGCTTCTCTATTCGCAAAACTTTGGTGAAGTAATTAGAAGACAGGAAATTGGTATACAGATCACCTAACTGCTTTTCCCAACTTTATCATGAACTGAATAAAATGAGAGCCTTTTGCCCGAACTTTATATGTTACTTTTCGCTTGAAATGAATTATAATTCGGCCAGATAACTTCAAAGCAAAATTTTACGTACTACTCATGCCACAGTTCTGGTACTGACACAGTTCTTTATTTATATTATTTAGAAAGTCGGTAAACAGAGTGGCTCACTGTTTCTAATTAAAGGCGTTGCAAGTTAATTTCTTAAGCAATTAGGCGTAATGATTTTATTAAGTAATCGTTACGTACTTGAGGATAATCTCCATCTTTCGTTTGGTAATCAAACACATAGAAAAACGTTTTGGGACCTTCTTGTTCTTGTCCTGGTTGTGGTGGTTTGGCACTCAGGAGATCCCCCGTCTGCACCAAGGGAGCAACGAATTGTGCATCGCTTAGAGCAGCAACCGCAGCATCTCTTGTGTTTATAGGATGCTGAACCGTCCTTTCCCAGTCCGTATACTCATTTACCACAGTAAAAAATATTTCACTAAGATGGTATGTGTACGCGTTTCTTATATAAGTCCTTATGATCCTGTCCCGTCTTTCGCCCTCGAAGCCCGCTTGGATATCGGACGAGGAAAAGCGCCAGAGGGCTTCACTTGTCACCACACCGAAAAGAAGATCATAAGGATTATTACCCTTTGGTGTAAATGAAGTGTCACTTCGTTTCATGTTCAAATTAACTGCGCCACTCGTGTAACTACTTTGAACGTCACTTGATCGAAAGAATGTGAGCAGCTCTTTGGAGAAATCGTGCTTAATTACTACACCGTCCACACTTGGTCCGAAAGCACTTAAATATGCTGGCGGCTGGATATCGGCACTTAGAAGACGTTCCAAAGAAACTTCTCTCAGGCAGTCTACAATTATCTCGTGATCCACGTCGATCTTTTCGGGAATTGTACAGTTGACTTCTTTAGCGAGTTTCACTGCAAACATCACCGGATTTTCTACGATTGCCCATGAGGACAAAGCCGAGCCTGAGAGGAGAATAGATCTGTGGAAAAGACCTGGCATCACGGTGGGTGATATCATGAGGAAGTTGATGCAGGCAGCACCCGAACCATGTCCTGCTAGGGTTACGTTTTTGGGATCTCCTCCAAAAAGCGCGATATTTTGTTGGATCCAGTGAAGAGCAGCAATTTGATCCATTAGTCCGTAATTGGCTACTCGCGCTTTTGTGTTCGGAACAGGGTTTGCATTAAGGAATCCTGAAAGAAACAATGTAACTGATAATTGACTACCTTCAAGTATGCTCATTATAAAATGAATCAAGGTGTTTCTGATTTAATCATGAAAATGATGTTCATAACCTGTCACTTTATATATTCCACTGAATGTCAAAATTGTAAGTAGGTAAAACAAAAAAAAATACACAGCTGTTGACTACAATTTCGAAGAAGGTGTTTCTTCCTTATTACAATCAGTAAAAGAGGTTTTAGAAATGACTGACAAATATCAGATCTATCAGTCAGAAACAGCTGGAGAGGATGAAGAAAATTGCTGGTCCACTTTTCAAATAGACAAACCTCTAGAAGAAACTGTAGCTAATAAATTGAGTAACTTGAGAAAAGCTTTGACAAAAAAGATTCAAGAGCACAAGGATTACATACAAATCCACCAGGGCACCCTTGGACATCACGAGAAGCTACTCAGGGAAATTGTACAGGCTGAGAGCGATTTTCAAAGGAATCGTACTGTGCACTTCAGGGATAAATGCTTCTTACCACTGAGTGGAATATCTTTAGAAAATTTACCGTCACGGGAAAATAGGAATTACATACAACCGGAGAAACCACCAAACGAGTAATGATGTATTTTAAATTAATATCTCACCTTCTTTAATAGATGAAAAATATTGAGCTATTTCAGGATTAAATACAATCTTTTAACAGCCATCGATAATTTTTTATTGTGTATTTAGTAGATACGTTATTTTTTTTACTCACCCAAAATTCCCAGTCTGTAATTCATTGTTACTACGACAAGTTCTGCATACGACGCCAAAACACTACCGTCGTATGGATTTCCGGAGTTCCACTCAAACGATTCTCCATGAATATAAACGATAACAGGGTATTGGTGTTCCATATCAACTGAAAAGGAATAAAAATCAGCAAATTGTACTTATCCACAACGATAGAAGATAGTGCGTTCAGGTCGAGTTGGTTTTGTTGATGGAGAACTACAAATTATGGTATTGATATTTTGTTTTATATTTACTTTTGAAGTAAAGCTTCTATATCGATAGTAGCAAGGAAATTTACTAGGGTATAAAACCATAAAGTCTAACGTCACGCGTCACGTCATGAGCTAAGTGTGATCCCTGTTGTATATGTCCAAAAGGAATCATTTTAACAGGCTTCAGAAGTTAACCTAATAGTAACAACCTCTAATCCGAAAATTGCCATTTCAACAAATTGTCAGTAGATCGCTCCTACGCTTTATTGTATATGTATTGCATATGCGTTTGTGTTTCTTTTTAATTGTAATTCCTCTCTGCAGTTTTTTATGGTGCAAGCGTAAAAGTTTTTAACAAAACTAAACCAATATTTCGCATTCGTCCGCTCGAAATAAAATTGTATCTGTCTGATGTTTAGTAATTAGCTAAAGCAATAGTTTAAGCCAATTTTTTATATAAATCACTTACACGTGTACATTATAACACGCTCGCCCCTTTTTATTTACGCATAAAAGCATTATTCGTTACATACAAAGCTGAAAATTCCCGATTCTAAATACAAAACCAATAAATTACGTAATGATCCATAGTCAAGTAGCTAAATGAATTAATTGTATTTCATCCTCAGCAAAACCTATTTGATTCAGCATTACCTTCTATTAAAGACATTAAAATCGGATATTATTTGTTATTGCGCTCCACTGGTCAATGAAAATCCGAGCTTGTAAACAAACTTTATACTTATTGAACTTCCCTGCCGACCAGAGGATTGGTTGGAAAATTTCAGTAGCGTTTGCTAATCTTCCTCTCCGTCAATATCGAAAGGTTTGCACAAAATTTAATGAACGGTTTTACATAAAACTACTTGCGGGTACTAAACTAAATTCCATCACAACTTCTCATGAAATATTAAACAATTGAAACGAGCGGATAAAAAAACTCATCGATGCCAAGAAGAAATGTAAATAATTTTTTTGTATAAAGGTTGAATTTTTATAACATGGAATGTCGAATTTAATGTTTAGTTTGGAATTAATTCGTTGCAACGTTTATGTATGTGTTTGTTGAGTGAAAAACGAAAATATATTTTACCCTATATGGAGTCCCTAGACAAAAATTTTCAGTCTCTCAGAGTCTTTCAGCGTCTCTGAGAGCGTGTCTCACAGTCGTTCACAGTCTGTTATTGCTTAGGTGTTTTTATGGATCTCTCACAGTCTCTGTATGAGAGACTCGAACGATAAAATTGTTAATTCGGAGTTTCGAGTCTCTCACAGAGAGATTGAATGAATAAAACTGAAAAATTGAGGGACTCGAGTCTCTCGTAGAAAGACCGGGATCTCTGAAATATGTTGAACTTAGAAACTTTTAACCATATCTATCGAGACACCACTTATTGAGAGATTCGAGTCTCTTGTTCAGAGATTCGAGTCTCTCGTTCAGAGATTCGAGTCTCTGGTTCAGAAACTGGATACGAAATGAGGATCTCTCTGTGAGCGACTAGAGTCTCTCGTTCAGAGACGCAAAACAGTCTTTTTGACAGTCTCTCTCAGCGACACCAGAGAGACTCGACGAGAAACGGAGACCCACGTCTCACTTTCAGAGACTCTGAGAGACTGAACATTTTTATTTCGGGTACATAATTCACAAAAACATACTCTGTGTAACGCGAAAACGAATTTTAACCATGTCTATCGAGACACCACTTATCGAGAGATTCGAGTCTCTCGTTCAGACACTGGATACGAAATGAGGATCTCTCTCGACTCGAGTCTCTCGTTCAGAGGCGCCAAACAGTTTGTTTCACAGTCTCTCGACAGTCTCTCTCAGCGACACCAGAGAGACTCGACGAGAGACGGAGACTCGAGTCTCGCTTTCACAGACTCTGAGAGACTGAACATTTTTATCTCGGGGTGCGATAGTTCAAATAGAAGTTCTAAATAACTGCGTTAGTTGCCCAGAGTGGAGAACTACTCCTTGTATACTTTTATGGTTAAGTTAAATATCATGACAATGGGGTGAATGTGTTGTTTTGTGTTTAGATATTTGTTTCATTTGTTTTCGAAAGTAAACGGCCTTTCAGCGCTGCTGCGTATGCAAATCTAAAAGGAAGCAAAAGTTTTTCAACAAATCTCGTCGGAAACGTATAAATTTGAAGCAGTCGCTAAGGTTCTCTTAGTGTTGGATAAACACCGCCACCACCGGTACCATCACCTCGGGTATCTTATCTACGGAAAGTTTTTAACTGCAGTTTGCACAGGCTAAACTTTACTTCGTCCCTTGTTGGTTTCTGAAGAATTAACATTACCATTACTTTATCTTGAGGAAATGTCCTGTCGTGGAAACTTTGCCCCGAACTGGGAAAGACATTTTGTCAGTGCTTCTTCTCTTCAAACGCTTTCCCCGCACTTACTTAAAATGAAAGGGCTTCCTTCCGTTTATGTTAACTGCTCGAAAATTTTTGCGCCTCTTTTGTGAATTGAATGCGTCCTTGATTTACGAAATAATGAATGGTTGTAGAAAAAGGAAAACAGAGTTTGATACGTCTAAAGGGAGCATTTTAACAATTAAGGGAATAAAAGTATACGTGGGATAATGGGATTTTCGTAGTATTCAATCGTATTTACAGAAAAAGGTCACTCTAATGCCTCGGAGGTAGCCTACCCAGATTATTACAGAAAGACTAAAAAATTCATGTAAGTATGATGTTTGTGAGAAATATTGAAATTATATCAAAATGAGCTTAATATTATATCAGCATGCTCGCAAGTTAGTAAAAATCGAATCCTTTTAAAAATTAAGGAAAAGTTTTCAATTATTGGTCAACTTTAACCCTTTCTGATGGAAAAATTAGACATAAAACGGGAAAGCGCCCCATTGAAGAACAACCGAGGTACACCCCCTCTATACATCTCTACATTTCTATGAACAAGTTTATATTAGAATGATTTTTCTTATTTCCAGCAATCGTAAAACACATCAATTTTTTTTCGTTATTCGAAAAGTTCGACATTTGAGTATTCCTTAGGCATTTGTTTACCCTCTAAACATCTGAGACCTTAGTAGGTACGCTCTTTGTATCTATAGGTAAATTACGTAGTTTGCTGATATTGCTACCCGTGTTCTGATTGTTTATATCTCATATAACGGTTTAATTTGATGGCTTACGCTTTTCACGTTATTAGTAAAGTCTATTAACCCGAGAGGAAATCATTAAAGTACTTTCTAGAGCGTGCTGTAGGTTCAACGTGCGCCCTTTCCAATAGCATTCCTATTAAAATATGAAATTTGATTGGTTGAGAAGCGTGCGTCTCGGATTATTATTTGAAAGTTCCTTTCAAAGAACCGTCCCAACAGTAGTTAACGATAATAATAAATTTCCAAGTAATGGGAACGGGTTTCGCATGTTGAGTGTGATTTCGAGAGGTAACTATAGATGTTGATAGGTGAGACTTCGTGTAATCTGCAAATGGAGAAACTTACGACTTGTTGAAATACCTAGGCGACGTTTACTGTTCATGGGTTTTAATATCCTGTCAGCATTGAATTATACGACTAGAGCGAAGATGTATGTGAAACCTGTACGAAGCCAAATAGGATATAGATCAAGATTTTTAGTAGTTTCTCCGGTCTTATCGCTGCGCTCCAGGCTCCTTCTTAAAGACGTTACTAAAATTGTAAGTTGCTGTTTACAGCATTCAAGGAAATTACGAGCACCGAGTACTTGCTAACAGCTCTGTTAATACATATACCTATGAGTACCTACATTCCACTGCAAATGATTGTTAAACCTTCCACCTTCATGCACTCAAACAAATAGAAGCAAACGTAAACATAAAGAGAAGATGGAAGATTCTTCTATTAAATTATAGCTTCTTGTCGATTATTTCGTCTTAAGAAAATTGTGTAAAACGATAACGTAGTAGAAAATTCCGAATCCTCGGAAATGATAAGCAAGAACATATTTTAGATATAATGTTTAACTATTTGTATCTAATAGTGAAATCGAATGTTAGTGCATCGAAATTTTTTGGTACTGCGTTAGCGTCTGATTTTATGTGACTGCAACAGCGTATAAATCTCAGCCTCGATCCATCGCATTGTCGTCGTCGGACAGAGCAGCTCTTTGCGTCACCCCTCGTCCCATGTTGCGCAGCTATCTGTCCCAGTCCTGTCGCTGCGGAAACGGTCGGAAGAATTATTAGAATTTCGAATGAAATATTACGGGGGCCTTTTTTCGCGACTTGGAATAAATTTTGCCCGCATCGGATGTTTGTCAAGGAGGAAACGACTCTCTTTTGGACGTCCAACTTAACACTCCACTTCCGGATCGTATTGGATCCAAATGTCCATCGGTTGACCAGTGTGATTATTATCGGTAGTGGGTTGCGATTTTTAATTATTTTTAATAAAGTGAAAATCTAAGATATTTATATAATTTTTAGCAGGTATCTGGTTATTATATAAGGTTATTTAAAAATATTCATATTATGGATAGGTTTGTTTTTGAAACTACTGAAATTAAGATTATTCTTTAGCTATGAGAGATGCAGTATTTACTACTATGTTCCAGCGGAGTTTCTATTTCAAATGTTTGTTGAGGGTAAAGTAAAGAAGGTAAATGACTAAAATAAAATAACGAACATAAGACATAAGAGGTGAATACATAACATATAACCAACCAACTCTTTCTTTATGTTGTACTGCTAATCGAACATCTCTAACGGTTACCACTAGTAATACCGATGGCGAAAACAATGTACTACTATGGAACCCTTTCCGCTTGACTAGATCATAATCTATTTTCACTTTTTCTGTTAATATTATGCCTACCTACATGACATTTTATAGACTAGTGCAATAATTATTAAATTTCATTCACAGAAAGTCTCTTAGTAACTAAAAGACCTTGTATTT